TTTTTCGTCAGTCACTAGTGTTTCCCTCCTTCGCTGGCCCTAAACATTTCGTAGGCCCCAAAGCATTGCGCCTGCAGTGCCTCGTGGGAAATCCGGCACCGCACAGGAAACTGCTCTGACCTGTAACCAGCGTGTAATCGGTGCTCTCGGTGGAGGGACGGTGTTTCTGTTTTTGTACCGGCCGCAGGTAGTGGCTGCTTTCTGACGGACTAAGCTGAAGCTCTCTGGTCCTGTTGTTGAGACCCTGTAAGCATCAGGTTTGAAATGTTACTCAAACCAAAAGAATATAACTGTAAAACAATCAAAGTAATTGATAAAAGCTCTCGGATTTTCATCTTTTTCAATAATCTTTCTTCTTTAGGCAGATTTTCAATCAGGCAACAAATGCTGTTATAATGGTATTTACAGTACAGCATGGATGTGTGAATTTTTAGAAGTCATTAGCATGTTCCTCCTTGAACAGTCTCTGTGTGCTGGTGCAGAGAGCAGTGGTAGAGGAGGTGAACTGGTGTCTCCAGGCCTGATGCACTTCAGAGCATGAGATAATGAGAATGGTTATGATACCAGAGGAGGGCATTCAGCCCATCTAGCTAGCAATTAATTGAATCCACTGTTTCATTGTTAACCTGTTCCAGAAAGGGCACAGTTTCAGATCACAGCCCTGACAGACTGCACTGTCTTTTTACTCTGAAAATCAGGAATGATCCGAGGACCGAAAAACAGTGTTAACGCTTTGCCAGGTCTTTGAAGACAATGCTGCACTGCACACAAATTTACATTTCAAATGTTTTGTGAGTAATACAGGGTAAATGATTAGGGAGCATAAAGAGAGCATGCACAAAACACATAAATAATTCTTTCATCAGCCCAACTTAATCAGAAAGAAATGAACTCTTGTGCTCTCCGTCTGTAATAAAAATAACTTATTGCATATACAAGTGACAAGGCAGAGTGCAGAAACACAGTAATAACTCATCTTTGTGGTCTTCATTTACGGCGATTGTTTTAGGTTTCTCAACAGCAGAGGCTGTGTTGCCCTTCAGGTCCGAGTGCTTGTGTATTTTCCATGAGTGCGAGTTTGCAGAATGTGGACTTGATTACAGAGCGCAGCGCGCTGCCCACTGCCTGCTGCTCTGGTACGTGACTGCAGGGAGGAGAGCTATTCATTCCTCAGATCCCAGTTTGGAGTCGAGGACAGGGTCTCTGTTTTTACTTGCGATCTGGAGGCCAAATTCAACAGCACACTGCGCCCATCCAGCATCAAGAATGCTGTGTGCTAATCACTTGATGGTGCTTTTTTTGGCGTGAAAAGCATAAAAATAAATTAAAGTAAAATAAAAGAGTTTATTCCTTTTGAAAGGCATCCTGTTTGTACCCAATGTTGCAATTCTGCCATGGGATGAAAATCAAATAAACACATATATATGAGCCTTATTGAAAAATGTAAACACATTTGGGCTGCAAATGCTATTTGAGACCTTTGAACGTCTCTTGTGTACATACTCCGAGGCAGTTTCAGTGTGCATCAATATTTTCGCAAAGCTTCAAGGTATCCCAAAGCAATTTTTTTGTTTCTCCTTCAGAGACTCTGGATAGTTAATGAAAGTTACCTCTTAGACCTAAAGTATGTGCTGCAGCCTCACCCGTGATGCGGAGTTTCTTTCCTTCAGATTAATTGAAAATTTTATCCATTCATTCATTCTGGCATGCCCAAGGCAAACCATTTACAACACACGGACAGTGGAAGGGCGTATAATGATATTGGCATAAAAGACAATGTAGACCAACTGGAATTTACTGTGGTGCCTTTGTATACTACTTCCACAGTTCTGCCTATGATTCCCCAGGACATGTGAAATACTTTCAAAAGCTGTCCCAGAGAAAAAAAATCCTTTAAAAAAATCGGATAGATAGGTTTTGGTGAATAGGAGATACTCTTCAATGACAGCACCCAGCTGTATACTATGACTCTTGTCCCAGTTATTACTGCTGGTTTTCTAAGATGGAAATGCAGCAATCGGTTCACAAGACATTCACCTGAATCTGCAAAACGAGAATTTCACCTGAAATGAATATAACTCAACTTTTCTCACCTTCTTAAAAACCCAAGTGGTCCTGAGAGGGCCAGCATGAAAAGACACAGCATAGTTCCCATCACAGTCAGTCTGCACCTGTTTTTATCTGCACAGACAATAACACGCTTAATATGCCAAACAGCTGTGTCCCGTCACCCACTTTTACTGTCTCTCTTTGATTGTGCAACCTCAGTGGGTTTACTTCTGTCCAAAGAATGCAAGACACTGAAAATGGGATACAATGTTGCACACATGCCATTACATCATCATTCAATTAATCTCCCTTCACTCAGTCCCAGCGAGGACACATACAACCTTGTGTTACGGGCAGGTATCAGAAGCATCAACTGTAAATACAACATGGGTGACTGAGCTGAGCTACAGGAGGCTGCTGATGAGAGAGACCTGGGTGGGCATGTTCAGACATCATTTACGCCTTCTTGACCAGGTGGGGAATCAGGCCAACAGAATGTAAGGATACAGATTTCAAGCACAGAATTTACATCAAAGTATCTTGCAGCAGTCTGTGCTTGGCTACGTTAAACATCATCTATCAGGTGGCTGCCCAGTCTTCAAGTTAATCTACATCTTTTTCAATTTCATTTCCTGGTCCTCCTATTTGTCAGAATCTATATCACTGATATAAATGAGGAGGAACACTGGTCCTAGTACAGACCCCTGTGGTACCCCGCCAACTACATCACCCCAGTTTGAGCTTTCATCTCTTATCTATGTTCTGTCTATTAACTAATTCTCAGTCCAAAGACATGTTGGGCATTTTCCAGAATACCTGCCACCTCTAAATGGTTACATAATGTTTTTTATTATGCCTTCTGAAAATCTAAATACAGCACGCCGTCTGTTCTGTGTGTCCATGGCTGTTGTTGCTTATTCAAAGGACTGAGTCCCGATGAACCAGTGACGGAGTGATGGTTCTGATTCTGGACTGAAGCCTCAGCTTTGGAAATGCAGTGGAGAAAGTGGTCAGTATGACTGAACCCCTGTATTATTTGACTAACACAATGAGTAATTTAAGCCAGACCTACCATTTAATGTATCCACGTGGACTCTCCCCTAGGAATATTGTATTTTTTCAGTTTCGCAATGTGTAACCACACCAAGGTAATTGAAAGGGTATGAGCATGATATCACAACGACCTCCAGGCTATCAAATTAGGCTATCCGTGCCAGCGAAATATAGCCTTAAATACTGTAGATGGAAAGTTTGTGCTCTTTACTGCTATACTACAAAACGTATGAAAGATGCTTTATATTGGTACTCTACCATGGGTTTTTGTCAAAGGACATATTGAGTTCTTTTGTTCTCCCCCTGTGAGAAAGCAAAACATTATCAAAGAAGGGACGATCCCGGATTGAGGCCTGAGCTTTGGAAATGCAGTGGAGAAAGTGAAATATTTTTGTTTTTTTAAATGAAGTCACCTCATGCTATGACCCCTTTACACACATAGTCTTGTGTATGCAAACATGGAAACCACACAAAAAACAAAGTGTTCTGTTAACAATAACTTAAGTTCGTAAGCAGGGCTTTGCAGGGAGTGAAAGCAAAGCACCATGTTATCAGAAAGAGATGGAAAATTTTGGCCCATTATTGCTTCCTCGGATATAAAAGCCGCTTGTCTTTAGAAACAACTGCACTCCGCCATTAGCAATAAACAGATTTGTAAGTTAAAGGCATTTGAGAAATTGATCCATTGAAAACAGGAGAAGACGGAGACTCACATCAGTTAGTGTACTTCAGCTGTCAAGAAAAGGAACAAGCAATCTTAAAGAAGTGACTTTGATCTCGGCATAAAAGATTCCAGCGTGTTCACATTCCAGACATTAATTAGGATATAATTCCACAGGTATTGGAAGGCAGGTTATACGGTACCTTCTTAAGTCCGTTGGTTTCTCCAAGATAAAAGAATTAAGTGGTCGATAAATGCATAGCACTGTCTGTGATGGTCAAAAGATGTTCAGAATCTCTTGACCAGAGGCTGGCCTCGGGTTCTAGGTGGTGAGAAGTCTGAGACAAGGAGCTTCAAATTCAAGTTACAAATGTGCACATTTCTGAGCCTCTTAATTAGCTCTGCCTAATTAACTTTATTTCAGAGCACCTAGACATCCAGGGTTCTCACTCATCACCTTTTGTATGGTGGAAGCAGTGTGTTCTAAAAGATGCATTGGATTCCTGACTCTTAGAATAAATAATACAATAAACAAATAATAATAATAAACTTTATTTATAGAGCACCTTTCATACAAATAGCAGCTCAAAGTGCTTTCCAAACCATGTGTAAATAGCAATAAAGGGAATACAAAAGCCCTGGACAGCAATACTTCTCCTGCATTTTGTCTGTTCGTTTTCATTATAGAGAACAAATTGATCCAATATTGCCTAAAAGTGACCAAATTGACCCAGTGATGTGATCAAGCACATTAAGAGGTTTCCTCACAGCTACTGTGTTTGTCAATTCCTCTTCAGATATAACTCTTGTATTTGATGAGGAGAAAGGCACTTAGATGACATTATCTTTATCATTCACATGGTTATCAACATAATTAACGGTGAATAACGTAGTGGGGCAAACCCCATTCGTCACAAAGCAGACTTTTCTGGGTAGGAAAGGGTGTTAACGAGCCTTTTTCTTGGATGAAACGAATCCCAGCAGCTTTACAGAGCCTCGGCCTCTCGAATCTGAGTCAAAAGACCTTCCGTTTCTCGCAGGAGGGCTGGGGGCTGAAAAGAAGCCAGCGCTGAATGCTATTTGCGCATAATTGCAAAAGTCCCATTAGAGAAGCAATGAGAACATCCAGACCTTTCCACATGTGCAGAATCAGTGACCATGGCCTTGATACGAAACCGTTGTCATTGATAAGATAATAGCTTTTCTAATCAGCTGTGCAGAAGCCCAGATAAGGATGGTTCAACACACAGCAGGGCCAACGATGATGTTGTCTTGTGTTCTCTGTAATGTTTTCTTTTCCAGGACGTTGCAAACTCAGTGGTTTTAATCCTGCATGTTCCAACTCTGGCAAAACTCAGGTCACGAGGAAAATCACGAGTATTTATTGTCAAGAAAGCTAACGAAAGTCTGTGGTTTTTATGCAATGTTTTTTACTGATTTTGCCATGCCCTCCATTGGAACAATGGGATTTTCAGTATGTTCTTTTTCATTCTTTCATCATTACTCATGGAAAAAAGATTGATACTGTAAGTACAGTTCTTATGTATTTTTAATAAAATCAATTCATTTTTCCCTCTTAGGATAGCTTAAAACATCTTCTTATTTTGAAGGAGCAAAAATATTGTAGCAGTTGGCTGATAGGTGTGTCTAGTTGCTAAGATGTTTGCTGTTGTAGAATTAGGGTCATGAAAGAGCAACCCATCAGCCTGGTTTGCTTTGACTTCAGTGTTTATAGTTAAAAAGAACACAAAAAAGAACTTTCTGATAAAGAAAAGTAGGCAAATGTGAAGCTGAAGGAAAAAAATATCAGAACTATAGCGCAGAAATGGAGTAAACCAACAACAACAATTTGGAATATAACAAAGAAGATAAACAGGTCTAATTACCAATCATCCTAGATCAGGTCAACCAAGAAACAGGCTGTAGGTATTGACAGAAAAGTTATCTGAGATGTCAAGGAAAATCTAAAAACACAGTTGGTGACATCCAGATTGCAGTGAAAGTATCACAATTCCAAACCCACACTTGCAGAAGACTGAGACAGCAGGATTACGAAGGCGACACCACAATCTGTAGACCGCTCACTGGCAGCCAGGACAGAGAAGCCAGTTTAGTGTTTGACGGGAAGCACAGAGGTGTTGTGGAACAGTGTGGACAGGTGAGGCCAAGGTCAGAATTTACCATGGCAACTGAAAGGTTACGGTGCAGAAAAAGAAAGGAATTGCAGACGCCCCACGGGAGACCTCTCTGACCAGCACTGCAGTGACCCCGAGCACAGCGCCAGGGCAAGCCATGAGTTCACCCGCGGCACGAAGAGGGAAATTCTGGAATGGCCACAGCAACCTCAAGACGTGAATTCCATTGAACGTGCAGTTGATACAGATGTAAGACCAAACAGCGCAAGAAAACCTAGAGAGCTCAGTATGTTGCTAACTGAATGCAGTTATTGTCTCAAAGGAACATGTACTGAAAGGGAACGTGCCCCAGTACTCATGGCCCCTTGGATGGACACAAGTGTATTTTTACTATGATGTGCTCAAATGCATGGATGTAATTACAGTCAACTAAAATGTTTATTGTATTCCTTGATGAAAGCATCTTGTTAAAAATAAGTTATGGCTTTGTTGACCCAATACATTTGGAAGGCACTGTATTTTTAGTGAAGGAATGGCAAGCTTGACACAGAAATGTGCATTTGAACAAAAGTTGGTCAATTTAAAAATTACTTATTGCTTCTTAGTTGGTCTTGACAAGTCTTCCTTGTACATAAATGGATCTGCAACCATCAAACCTGATTTTGAAATCCTAAGAAAGCAACCTATTGAGCTCTCTAAACAAACTTAATGCAGTTGCTGTCCCCCTTACATTTGGAGGGTCTTATATGTACATTTGAGACATTATTATGGATTTCAAAGAGAACAGGAAGTTTCTGTGACCTAAAAAAGTAAGCTTGTCATTTTCATTAATAAAATACATTTAATGTAGAACAAAAGAAGGAAGGATTCTCATCTCTTTTGAGAATTAATTTCCAACCAGTACCATTATATTCCTTCAGCCCTACCTTCTACAAATATATAAAATATTATATAACATGATATCAATATAAAGTAGAATTAACATCTGGCAACTGGTTACACCAAAGACCTGTGGACTTTATGTCAGTAAAGACACACCATTCACTGACAGTTTGAAACAAATGTTCCAGATCCAGAACTGATATCAAAGGGAACACTCCAGAGTCAACAGCAGCACAAAGACCTTGGCTTGTGAGTGGAAATTGGAATTTGCATTACTGAAAAGAACAGAACTTTCTTTGGATGAAAGGGATCGGGAACAAGCTAATTCACTATACTGTCGAAAAGGACTCTGATACCTTTCAAGAAATGGACGAATGAGTTACTGGTTAATTAGTTATGAATTAAACTCTTGCTTGAAACCTTTTTAATGTTATTCAGAACAGTGCTGTGTTTTTTCTCCTAACCAAACTGTCAGGTCATCAGTTTCCTTTTATGTATGTGAAATTAAAACTTTTTTCTTCATACAACCATGCACAGAAATGGCTTTTACGAAAAACAAAAGCTCAGGACATCTAGTAAAATGCAATAATGTAACTTGTCTGAGGACTAAAAGATACAAAAACGAACCATCTAGCTAAAATACATAAAGGGAAAAAGAAATCCATTTATAAAACTAAATAACTGGTTAACTGGTTCTGTCTGCCCCTGTGCTTTCCTACTGTATTCCAAACTCTTATTGTAACTGTGTGATTCTGCTGTCTCCTCTCGTTGTGTACTTTATTTCTTACTGTAAAGTGCTTTGAGAAGCACTTTTAAAGGCACTATATAAAATACAGTTTATTATTATGATTATTAAATGCAGAAAATTAATTAACTTTTCCACAATTTTCTGATTTCAGGAATGGCCCTTGAGCAATCAGGAGGCAGTTTATCGGGCCTGCCTCAAGCTGGGTGGTTATTTTTGCTGTTCTGGAGCTTCTCTTCAAGGCTAGAACCTTGGTCTCTCTCTCACAACAGCCCTCGCCTGCCTGCCCCGCAACCACTGATCTTCGCAAACACGCAGCACGGCGAGCAGGTGATTTCAAAACTGTTCTCTACTAATGACTGGAATGTTTCAAATACAATGGCTGATTATGCCTTGCCTTCAGAATACTAATGGTAGGAGCTGCTCTGTGAATTTTTAGCTTCACACAGGTGAGTTCAACAGCACTGTATCGTCTGAGATTTAAACCCACAATCTCTTAGTTACTAATCCAGGGAAATCTGGACACTCGATTCCAGAGAAGCAGTAAATTTTCTTTCCATACTGAAAATTCTACACCATATTCTAAATTAGAGCTCGCTAGTGCATTGAACAAATGTTAACACAACACCATTTGTTTCCAATTCTACACTTTTAACTACATATCTTAACCTCTTTGTTGTTTGTTTTATTTCTTCCTCACATTGTCAATGAAAATGAAAAGGTGTGTCAATATAAACACCAGAGTGTTTCTCATAAGATCCCCATTTCCCACTGCCTTTTCCATTTTGTAATCATGCTTTCAAATTATTCTGCCTACATGAGACGCTACTCCTGTCTACTTATCTAAATCTTTTTATGTGTTCTTTGCCTCTTCTAAAGTGTTTGCTGATTCTCCTGTATAGGTATCAGCTGTGCACTTGATCAGTTCAACCACACCAGAATCTTCATGCAGGGGTCCTGGTACAGACGGCTGTGGCGTTCCACTAATTTCAATTCCCCAACTTGAGCATTTATCCTTTATAATCACAGTTATATTACTTGATACAGCTCTTCGTCTTCCCTGCATCTGAGGTATGTCATTGTCACCGGCTGAGGAAATACTCATTAAACCCCATTTCTAGGACACCTGACTTCATCATTAACAGTCCTTTTGCTTTAATATGTCCTTTTGTTGTAATACCGAAAAAAAACAAACTTTAATTGCTTATTTAGGCCTTCATTGCAATATTCCTTTTTATTTTTCTCCCAAGCCTTACTAAAATAAAATATATATACAGATCTTTGTTGTTTCTAATACTTTTCTTAATTGATTTATGAAACCATTTGAGTTAGTTGTCCAGTGTTGACTCTTGAGGTCATGCTGTTCTGTGCTTCAAGCAGAAGCTGTTAAAAGCTCTGCCATCCGTTCTCCATTGACTGCTCTCCATCTCCAGAAGGACCCATTGAACTGCTTTAAAACTCAGTCTCATTCCCTCACTCTCTCGCAGTCTGCTTTGCTGAATCGTGAACGTTTGTTTCCCGCTGTATCTGTACTGTTTCAAAGTACACATCAAGGAGCCACACATTATAAAACACCTGAAAAGACCAGATCACGCTTTCTCTTTTTATACTGTAAGCTCCGACAGAGTTGAGTAGCAAACATTGCCTGTGTCCGCCACTTCAATCTCGGCTATGGCGCACTGCAATGTTTTTTTTAACGCGCTTTCAGTTCAGCCTAGTTTATACATTTGAAAACACGTTCCCTAACTCGCATTAGAAAAAGGATTATATTAAACGTGTTTTTTTTTTCATCTTTCAATTCTTGACAGCCATTTTATATCAGATTTTAAGTTTGGACGAAACACCTCATGTCAGAGTAATCATCTGGCCGCAGATCCTATTTTCTCGTAGTATTGAAATGAGCCTCCGCCAGATGTGTTTAATTCGGGCTGTTTTATTTTTTTTATATATATATTTTTTTTTTCGGTGCGCGTCTCCAATGAGGCCAGGCGCTGGGTTTGAGTGATGGGTGATGCACGGGGAACAGGCTCCTCCTGTTTGTTCCGCCCCCACAAGCAGTGGATAGTGAGAGCGGAGATTATGCCTCATTAAGACTTTTAAACTTTTACTAACGAGAGAGTAGCTCATATAATCCCGAAAAACAACGGCGTCTTCCAGCGCGGCCGCTCGCTCGCCCGGACGCAGGAGCGGTGGGTTTGGACAGTGAGGCTTGGACGCGCAGTCTCCTGCAACAGCTGCCCCTCGGCTAAGATCGGGCTCCTTTTTGACAGCTCGGACGGAATCTGCACGGTACGTCCCGACTTTTGTTGTATTCACATGCACAGCAGCCTTGTTTCGTTTTGTTTTGTGTACCAGAGCCAGATCACGTTTTATTTGTTTTCTCCCTCCCACAAGAGACGGAGCCGAGCAGAGCGAGTCCGGGTCGTGCTTGGATTGCGGAGCGGCGTGTGCGTGTGTGTGTGTGTAAGCGGCGTTGCCCGTACTTGAGGGCTGATCTCCTGGGTTAAGCCATGTCCCCCGCGCAGTCCTCGGCTGGGTTTGCCGTGCCTCGGGTCTGCTGCGATCGGGACGTTTTCGTTTTCTTCCGCTTCTCTTGTTTTCCTCTTAAATCCACGAAAAGGAAAAGAGAGTTAGAAACAGCTATCTGGGGTTACCGTGTCGGCTGCATGCCGAAGATTGTCAGTAGTCCTCAGATAGTCCTAAGGATTAGCTCGGGACAGCGTGATTGCATTTATAAATGCTGCCTAGACAGCAAATGTCCCGGGAGTGGTGATAATTTCACTGTATCGCAGAAGAACGTGTCAAGTCTGTGTCAAGCCCCACTCTTCTGTGCCTTGAAGGGTACCGGGGTTCTTGGAGTAAACTTTTTTCGTCTGCCCAGCTGTTGGGCGCCTGTCTTGCAGCGCTGCCCAGGGCCCTGCGACACACAGCTGGGTCTGTGGACGAGCTGCGCTCAGCTAGCAGAGCTCGCTGCGCCGAGGAGCCGAGCGGTCTCGGCGTGTAGCAGCCAGGCTTTCCGGCTGCTTCCGAGTATCACGCTTTGCAGTTATGCAGTACAGAACCAGAGAAAAGGGGTAGTCGTGGGAGTGTTACGCGCAGTGCCTAGTGTTGGATGGTGTGAGCTGCTGTAGATGTTTTTTACATTTCTGTTACACGATTGCTGTTTTCCTTTGCGCAATTCGTATCGCCCATCCAGAGCCACAAGTGCTCTCTGGAGCGCTGAAGCAGCGAAACACGAGCCGGAGAGCGCAAGTAGAAAGTACAATGAAGTTAATTTGACACCGAGAAGCGGAGACAAGTCTTTACCCAAAGGGTTGTGGGAGTCTGGAACAAGCTGCCCAGCCGATACGTTTCAAGCAACGGCTGAATGAGATTCCGGGGATTCATTCATTACTAACTGCCAAACGGGCTAGATGGGATGAACGGCCTTTCTGGTGTTAAGAGTGGTGTCTAACATGTGTGAACTAGTTTTGGGGATTCAGGGGAAAGATAAAGCACACAGAGAAACTACTCATCGGTCATGCTAATAAAGCACCTTGAATTGAATTGACTGCGGATCCTTAGGCGACAGAATGTCCCCCTAAAAAAATGACAGAATACTTTTTCAAACTTCCAGTGACAGTATACCCTGCAGTAGGTTCCTGATCGAAACGATATTTTTTCGCGTTCTCCTTAATCTAATTTCTTTACGCGCTTGCCCTTGCTGTGCACGAGTTTATTCTGAGTTTTATCATTGTCCCGTCGAAGAGACGATTCCCCGCAGAGCACAGAATGAGATTTCTTTCGGACTTCTTCGCCAGGCAGCCAGCCAGTTGTTTTTTCCCAAAAAAATATTTAGAGCAATATGTAGAAAGTGTTTTGCTGTATTTGTATACGCACAGGGAGAGATAGATAATACAGTGTTCACAAGAAAGTTAATTCACTCTGCTGGACCTGTTATTAAGAAACACCACCGAGATTAATCTGCAAGCTGTAGTCTTTAAAGTAAGAACCAGTTTACTGAAGTATTAAAGTAAACGATGTTTACATTTCCCCTTCCCTTCAAATATGAATTTGTAAAACTGAATAATAATATGAAGTTGTTTCTTGTAAAATTAGAGGACTAGTTTACTGCACCCTGTAGAATTTTGTGTAGAATTCCTATTAAAGTTCCATTGCATTGGATTATTAGGGCGGTTTGCAAAATATATAAAGGGATACATTACTCTTTATGATGAAGAAGCTTGAAGTCATCAATCGATTTTCTGGTCACCAGATTTGTTCTATCCACCAAGACCCTGTACAGTGTGAGATTTGTTTCTTAAGGAGAACAGTTTTCTCCATACTTTTGGCACCAGTTTATTTACAAAGTGTTTGCAGTTTCAATGTGTGCAAAAAGCTATTCTGTTTTACCATTGTGCTCTGCAATAAGCTAATCAAAACCAATACCTCCAGGACACTGTGCTCCCAGATTCAGAAGAGCCCTATTGTTCTTGAGAGATATTTTTACAGTTCTAAAACAATCGCACTCTCCTGTTCTACGTATCGGCATGAGGGTGTTTTTGAGAGACCTGGAAAACCTGGAGCTGTTGGCCTGTTTTGAATGTGTAGCCTGTGCAAAGATGGGGCAGAGTTTCTAAAAATGCAGAAGAGAGGAAAATGGGAAATGTGCAAGTGTTGAGCAGAGCTAAGAAGCCGTTGGCACATGGAGACACTGCGGGATAGAGTAAGCACCGATTCTCTCCTCATTCCTGCTGCTGCCCGGAGGGGGATCAAAACCTCAAATATAGTGCGTTTTCATTTATTCTGAAATGAATCCAGGTAACCATGCTTAATCTATTAGTAGCAAACTCTTCTGTAGCCACAGTCTCCATTACAGAGCTGTAAGCTTGGAAAAGGAAGGGGATGTTATTCTGCGATTGACAGGTCTTTATAGTGTTGTTTACCAGGCAGGGACATCAAGTGCTCGCTGTCTTCCAGGAGGTGTTGTTTGCACGTTTCCTGAGGCTGCGGCCGCTCGCGGGGTGAGCCCAGCCCTGGGGCAGAGAGCTTGGCCAGATTCCACCCCGAGTGTTAAATGTCCACTCTCTGACTCAGTGGCAGGCCTGGCCCTCGTCAGAACTAACGCCCAGATGAGCTGACGGCCCATCTGATGTGCTACGTTTCTCACCAAGTTATCGATATCAGCAGTGCAGGTTTTATATTGCCTTTGGCATTTATCACAGCTCAGTCCGAGGGTCCCCATGGACAAGAATGTTTTTAAAGGTGGAGGAGGGCTCAGCCACATGATAAAGAGCCCCTGTTGTGTAGAAAACAGAGGATTTCTAGACCTATAGATCTGTGGGGACAGTAAATACTGCACATCTACCCATCCACCCATTTTATAACTGCTTTATCCACTACAACATGACGGGACGGGACTCCAGATCCATATGTTTGTGAAATGCAGTGCTTTCCTACCAGGCTCCGCTAGCTGGAAAGGGTATACCCGGACACACTCCGGTCCCACTGCTGACTTCCTCAGGCACGGGAGGGGCTTAGAGAACAGTCTGCAATACTCACAGGTACATGCTGGCAGGCTCAGAGCCCTGAGCGCCTCCGCTTTCTCCTTCTCACCTTTAATAAAAAAATCATGGCAGAATGCTGTGACATATTGCTTCAGAGGCCATCATACGTAGTCTCAGCCAGCCTGACTTTTTTGAGGGGTGAGTTACACAGACATTCTCTGCAGGGTTCTTTTTTTTGGGGGGGGGGTGGGGAGAAGGGCCCAGGGTGATTGACATGGCAAAGGGAGTGAGAGATTGGCGCCAACGTGACCCAGAACGGGCCACACATCTTTACCCTAAGGGTGGTGGGAGTAGGGAACAAGCCGCCCAGTCATGCTGTGGTTTTTTTCAAGAGACAGCTGGATGAGATACTGGGATCAATTGGCTCCCAAAGAGGCAAGATGGGCTGAATGGCCCCCTGCCCTCTGTCTTGTTACAGTATGTTCTCGTGTGTGGGAGTCAGGCCTCACAGCCTGGCTGATAAAGTCCCCAAGGTGAGGCCAGGGTACGAGTGCTGGCAGGAGCCCAGGCTGTCAAGGCTGTCCCTAGCTGTGTGTCCCTGCTTCTTCTGAATCCTTGAATGTTCAGATGGAAGACTGACCGCCTCCTGGGGGTCACCGCCATAAAATAAAACCGTGTTCCAGAGAAGCCAAAAGGCCTTGGCCGGTGTCTGAAGGCGCCGCTGGCAATGATAAGACCTGTGCTCTGAGGTGTGCGGACATGTGCAGCCGAGACACAGCACTCCAGCGTGCCGACACCGACAACGTGATTAGACAGCAAATCAGTGGGAAGAGTGTGAGCCGAGAAGCCATGGGAAGCCCTGTGAAGAAAGTGTTTGTTATTTATTTAAATGCCAGAAGTGCAGATTGTCAGCATGGCTCCGGGGGTCGAAGTGTGTATTTCACAACGACTGAGGGTTTTCACAAGGAACCTGCCGCGGTGTAAATCACTCACAGAGATCTGGGCTCTTCTGCGGTACCTGACAGACGTCCCTCTATTTCTATCTGATCAATAGTGTAAAAGAAGAAAGTGCAGTGTGCAGCAGAAAAACTGACAAGTGGCATTTCTGCTTGAAGACCACAGTTTGTGTCTGCGCTAGAAAATGACTCATGCGCTGAGAAATGCTGTCAGTGTTGAGGGCAGGGTGTGGAGAGGAGATACACACAGCTGGCGTATTGTCAGGCCACTCCGCTGACCTGCTGCACTGCGCCTGCAGCTGCACGTCCAGAGAGGAAGAATAGATGAAATTGTTTATCGATGAGCGGATCTGCACTTCTGAGCCCCGCGGAGCCCTGCATGACGTCTCCCCCAGCCGTGCACATCGAGGCTTGTCCTGGTCTTGGCTGCACCCCTCTGCCGGGGTCTTGCTCTGTGCTGCGCTGCGGGGACGGAGGTTTTGAATGGCGGAGGAATTTTCGTTGGAGTTACGTCCCTTGACTCGAGTGTGAGCAGCACTCTTTGTTGTTATTGCACAATTCTAAACCGTTCATTCTTGCCGTCTGAGATCACTCGTGCTGGGACCTGCTGGGGCGGCACAGCTCCTCAGTCTTACCAGTGGCAGTACTTTCCTGATGAGCACAGGCCAGACCCTGCAGCACAATTCCTCAAAGGAATGGCAAATACAGACAGATTAAAGGCACTGAATATCTTTAGTCATGAACAGACTACTGTTAAGTGACTATTTAGCGGTATACAGAATCTTAAGAGGTACTGTAGGAGGCATTCACAAATTGAAGCCAGATGGCTTCTTCACTAGTATAACAAAGGCCCGTGGGTATGATGGTAAATGTAAAGCATGTGCATTTAGGACTAAAACCATGAAAAGAAGGAAAGAAAAGGGTCCTCACACAGATGGGTGTGGGGTCTGGAGCCACCCAGCCGCGTTATCCAGGCAGATTCCCTGGGATCCTTCCAGAAACAGCTGAATGAGATCCTTGTATCCATAAGCTACTTACCAGCATCCAAGATGAGCCGAAAGGCCTCCACAAATCAGAAAAATGAAAGAACCTGAATATTCTGGGTTCCTTGACTGTACAGTGTGTCCTTTTTTGGAGCTGCCAGTCTTTTGTCGTATGAGGTTAAAAGCCACTGTCAGCTTTCAGTTCAGAGGCCCGGAGTCACCTGCAGCAGGCGGCTGATCCTCGCAGGACCGGAGCGCTACAGTGGGTGCAGCAGAGCAGTGTCTCAGCAGTACTGCTAGCTCGGAAGAGTCGTGTTTCATTACTAACGCCACACAGGGCGCATCGCAGTTTGTTTTCACACATACTGATGGGAGGTCGAGTGCAAAAGTACAGAATGGAGTTAAAATCACTCCATTTGCTCACGTTTGTCTCCAGGTCCTGTAAGCACATAAGAAAAGATACAATCGAGTAAAAAGCTATTCAGCCCATCTAGCAGTCAGCAGCCAACCGATGCAGCAATGTGTTTAAAGAAGCCAGGGTATCGGCTTCACAGCATGGCTGCTTGGCTTCTTCCATGCTTAAGGAAGTGCCTTCAGCTCTCGGTTTTAAATGCACTTCCAGGTAGTTTCCACTTGTGCCCTCTGGTTCGTGTTTCGCTGTTTACACTGAGTGCGCCAGATTGGCATTTTCAGTGCCTTTGAGGACGTTGAATGCTTTTATCTGGTCTCTCTGCAGCCTTCCTTGCCCAGAACTGAAAAGGTTCAGATCTTCCAGTTCTGCTGCCCTTTATTTCTTCTGTGAGAGCTCTTCATGCTTTAGTCCAGGCTGTGTTGTGAAATTAGTAAAAAAAAACAGTGTATTGAAATCTGCAGGTGCTTTTGTCACCTCCTTCTCTGACTAATGCATCTTTTTAACATTAATTTTGGATGGAATGGCAATTACATCACTCCTTCAAGCACGTCACAACTTCTCAGCGGTTTGGGAAGTTCTGGTCACACAACCCTAATGGACATGGATCTAATTATTTCCCTGGTCTTCAATGGGAATTGAGTACAGCTTAAATAAAAAGTTAAAAAGTTTAGACATCATGTTTCTCCTACAGGGGAAACGTGATATCAGCATTTTTATGAGTCACACATGAAACCCATTACAGGATGTTGGAAATAAGTGGAATTTGTATTCTTCTTCAGCTTGGCCGGCTCTGACACAGGAGAGTGACGGAATGCCACTGACTCTGCAGGATCTAGAGAAGGGATTTGTACAGAACTCTACTATGAGAATTTTTCTCTGTTTCCGAAAGCGATGTGTATTGTTGTCCACGGAAATCGTACTTCTGTGCCTTCTGTTCTGTTTTCCTCTACCCATCAAAAACTGTGTGGATGTTCTTCCTGAATGAGCTCTTGTAATCTGCAGGATTTGTTTTTTGTCTGAGTTGCACGGTAGTTGAGTTGAATGGGTAGGTGAGTGAGTTCCATGATCTACCCACTCTCCATTCTCTTTCAGACCAGGCTCACTTGTACACTTCCTGCAGGCTGGTTCTCTGCGCCTTGGGATCCGCAGTGGCCGCAGGCCCTGGTCATTCCCAGGGCTGGAACGTCAGAACAGGCTGCGGCACGCTCACGCCCCGTCCTGCTCTCCAGATCAGGCAGCCAGCCGATTTCGCACCGGGCTGCAGGAACCTGAGCGGCTCGATGAACTGGCGCCCCGCGTCTTCCTGCGACTCCCTGTCCTCGTGGAGCACTGCCTGACTCCCCTTTCCTGTCTTTTCTTCCCAGAGGGCGATTTGGCTCCTTCGAGCGGGGAGAAGCTCAGCGTCCTTAGTAAAGCTCAGGTGTCAGACGGCGTCCACCCCTGGAGCTGCGATGGCAGGCAGGGAGCGCGTGGCAATGCTGCTCCTGGCTCTGTGTGGCGTGGCCTGTGCAGGTGAGATCGCCTTCACCATCGACTCCTTCGGCCGACAGAGGAGTCAGAATCACAGCTTATGTTGTCGTTTTGATATGCTGTGTTGTTTGTCTCAGAAACTCTTGCATTCTTTGAGAGTGGAGTGTCTGAAACTCTGTTCTGGACTCCTCTTCGTCGCGAAGCAGTTGAGGGCTACGCAGCAGTGGGGAGGTTCACTCCCAGCTGCTGCAGCGCCCCTTGGGGCAGCTTCCCGAACCCGAGGGGGCTGGGAGAGCTGGTTTCCTACGAAAGCCGTGTCAGGGGCTCCCTGGTGATTTCTCGTCTCTCCCGACACAAATCGCGAAGCAGTATTCGCTGCCGGAATTTCCCCTCTGTGGTTTTGCAGCCAGAACGCCCCAGTCAGCCAGGGTGCTCAGAGGCAGCTCTCTCAGCTCATAGCCTGCTGACAGATGAATTCTCAGCACCCTGCCAGGGAGAAGGTGCTGCATGACTTCTCAATAGGCACCCATGCACATACCTGATTGATTAAATTAGCAGGATGTTATGTAAAAGAAAGGAAATATAGTGAAACATAAAATAAACATAACTCAAATAAAAACAGCATTCACTGGTTTCAAAAGTGCTGAATGTTGGAGGGGCCCAGAGGAAAGGTCTGAATTATGTACATGGGCAAATTCCACTGGATAAAGAGAGCAAGCTGAGACAACGGCAGTGGAAACCAGTAGATGTCTTCTCAGTTCTTCATTAACGTGTTACTGTGGTCAGGGTGCTTTTAAGAGCCCTTGGGACTGTGCTTTGTCAGGTCATTGCCAGAAATGACTCTTTAAATGCTTTTACGTGCTTTTCTGATGACTACTACTGCCTAGTTAAAATGACACAGGCCACATTAGAATTAAAGAGTGCCTGGTTACTAGAAATGGGAAAACCCACAACAGCTTATGTGTCTGCTTTTTAAAACCCAGAGAGAAGCACTTACACATCAGATCGGATAAAATAAAGGAGAAGAACAACAGAAGCACAAGAGCTGTTGTTTTTGAGTTATACCAGCTCTGCCAGTCTCCATGCTGGCACGGACCTTTCCAGAGGATAAAAACATCTTTTTGACATGAGTATATTTTATCACTGCTTTGATTGTCATGCCTGAGTTTTACTGGTGTACAGCCAGTAGGAAGAAAAAGAACTAAAATGAAGGGAAGCTCTTTGGTTTGGTTTCTTTCCTTGCATTCAGCGCTGGCCTGTCTTTTTCACTCGTGAGGCGCTGCATTCTTTTGAATTATATATGTTTCCCAGCCGAACAAAGCTGGGAATGTTTACGCGGGTTGCAAAACATTCTGAACAAAACAGTCACTCGGAGCCCCAGGGACTTTGCCCAGATCGTTAGCTCCACCAGCGCACCGGGAAGCGCGCTGCGCCTCGAACTTCTCGGCTGGCCCGGTGCGCTGTTCTTGTGCTTCGCTTTCCTGCTGCGCTGAAGCGCGTCTCTGGTTTTCCTCTGGGATTCCTGCGATGGGCAGGAATGTTTAACGAGTGCGGCAGCAACCGTGAGCGATCTTAATGGATCCGTGAGCGGGCCACCCGTCCGAAGATGCTGAAACGGCGCAAAGGTATCTGACGCTTCCAAAAGGGCGGAGTCCTCTACCGTGAATTGTTCAAGTTCAACAAATGCACCATAAAGGAAAGATTCATTACCGTATTTGTAGTTAACCCCCTCACAAAAAAAGTATGATGTTTTTGTGGGCGATTGCGTTCCAAATATTGAAGAGCGAGAAAGTCTATCCCGTATGATCCTGCCCCTTTAAGAGACGCACAACCCCAGCAGGATGTTAAACATCAGGCAAACAGCACCGCAGAGAGCGGCATCTGTTGTAAGCAGACCTAATTGTGCCTCCGATGTTCCCTTTATTACACAGACGGTGAGGTCATTCAGACCTTTTCCATCAGCTCTTTTCACGATATTCCAGTGGAACGTCTTCTGCGGTGCCAGCATTGTTTCCCAAACACCCCCCGCCTCGCCCTTTTCTCCCCAGCGCAGTCAGGAACATCATCACTATGAAGATGAAGCGTTTCAGATGTCAGCCTGCGAGAAGTCAAGCGAGGCGAGAGCTCAGACCCCCGGCTCTTGCCTTATCAGTCCCTGTTTGACTGTGGGCACCGGCTGCTGACTCGTTTAGAGAAAGCGTGTGGGACGGATTTAGAAAGAAGTGAATGTGTTTATTTTTTGAGAAGTTTCCTGGTTGCCCGCTAGGAAGCTGTATCTCTTTTGGACTTGAAAGTTACAGGGGTGATCTGAGGCTGATGTCTGGCTCTGACTTTTCTCTCCCTGCTGGGACAACTCGTCACGGCTGATTTCTGGTTGCCTGCGCTGCTAATGATAAACAAAACCTAGAAGAATTAGGGTTTCGATGTCCTGTACCTTGTTTAGAGTACTAATGATCATCAGTAAGACTGCTCACAGCCCAATGAAACGATGAAAGTGTATTACATTTTAAAATGTTGGTTTTGGTGTGTGTTTTCGATGGTGAGTTAGGGCCCTGGGTGTGTTAAAATGATTGAGTTGCGACCTAAGGATGTTGTTTTTTTTCATTTTTTTTTTCAATTATGCTTGAAGTGAAGGTTCCATCAGCTGCAGACAGAGGTGTTTACTGGTCTGCATTGCTGGAATACTGTAGACACAGTAAAGGCATTGAAGGCTTGTAAACAGACTTCAGAGGGGATTTCAGTTCATTTATCAAAGTCTGGTTTAACTCCTGAATGCTCTTTCAACGTTGACTCCTGAGCATGCTCACCTAGCTGTCTCAGGAGGGATTAAATATCTGAGGTCTCTCTAAGGGTCCGTACTTTTAAATTTAATTAACATTTTCTGGCAGGCAAAATTTAAACAACCTTAAAGTAACCTTGCATGACGTCACCCAGACTTGGAGAATATCTTGAATGTCTTCGTCTTGATTACATGAGCGATGGATGTAGTTTTTTATTTAACTCTCACATTGGAGAACTTAAGAAAGATTACAGATGAGAGGAGACATTCGGTCACATCTTGCTCATTTGGTAGTTAGTAATTAATTGACCCAAATATCTCATCCATCCTTTTCTTGAAGGAAGCCAGGATAATGGCTGAGTAGCTGCGATATTACCTGTGAAATCAGAGCACTGAAGGTGATGAGGTGGCAGGTTTTTCTGTGCTCAGGCACCGAGCCAGCGGCACCATTAGAACTTCCTCTGGTCTGGTTACGTTCATTGGTCAGGAATAACCGTCAGCAGCAAAATGGGGCCAAGATCTGATGAACTCGTTTCACTTGTGGTCCGAGACATTTTAACCCAGGGAGGTACAACCAAGAGGTGTAAAAAGCAGGTCAATGAAGCTGCAATACCTGAGTCGCTTGTACTTCAGGGGCATTTTCACACCGCGGCAGCCAGCCTGGACTCAGGGACGACATCTCAGAGCGAGTGGCAAGCCTTCTGCACCCCTGCCCTCTTCGATCTCTCGTCACGCTGCGCTTTTGAACTCCTCAGCTGCTCCTGTGATATTGTTCCGTTCTCTGATGTGCAGAGGTTAACCCCTCTCTTCCCCGGCCCGTGCTCATTCAGGTCGGCCGCCGCACATGGGCTGCAGGCTGCAGAAACAGCTGCCATCTCCGGCCGGACGCCCCGCTAGCGCTGACATGAGCCACAGTCCGGCTCCTCTCCAGCAGAGAGGCCAGGTCCCGCGGCTTTCAGTTTCGACGTCAGAAAAAAAGAAAAACCTAGTGGGACTGTATCCAGAATTACTAGACTGTACATGCCAAAAAAAACGCTTCAACAGGATGCCAGTGACACGACAATTACTGTGAAATGACTGCTGAGTCTTAAAAAATAACAAAGGCCCTGAGCTGCACAGCAAAACCCCAGAAAACAAAGTGCTTGGTCATGTTAAGAACACCAGGGCAATTTTATAGTTCTGAGCATACGCTTAACATTGCTGACAGTCTGATAAGCAAGAGAAAACTGCCGACCAGTGAGCTGGTGTTAGCCAGGCTGGGTGGGGAGCGTTGCCGGTTTGACATCATCAGAGCTTCAGGGCCACAGAGGATGGGGCTCGGCTCAGGCAGTCTCTGGCTGGCCTTCGCAGCACTTCTCACCGGGCACTTCTCTAATGGATTTTACAGAAGTGAGCCAGAGCCAAGTTTTATTTTCCAGCAGAAAATAGCAGGGATGGCTTCCCAGAGGGCCCAGAGTAAAGGTCAGGGGCTTTGCTGGTCTTGCATTTGCAGGTACACAGGAAGCTCACTTCCTGCAACTCCCTGCTGCCTGCATTTAGGCCGCCGCGATCCATTTTAATATGTACAATAAGTGGATATCAGCTGGGTGTTATTTATTTTTAAATGGCGTTAGCGAGAGCGTGTTGTATTCTGTGCCTGACTGAAGGACGTGCTCAGGGTGCATCTGCAACAGGCGGGCGTGGCCAAGCAGAGAGCTGGCAGTTTGGTTTGACTTATCTTACCGGTGATGATGACCCCTGATTAAAATACAAAAAAGTACCTCTCCTTATCTATCATCTTAGCCTCTTTGCAATTAAACAAACAAGACAGGGATGTGCAAATGAATGCAGCAAATTCAGCAGAATTAAAAACTCGAGTGGCTTGTGGCACGGGCTCCGGCCTCCTGCTGCCATTAGTCCGATGAAGCGATTGGAAAGTGGGTAGAGCTGGATAAAGGCTGGAATGTGAACGTGAGTTTTAAGACTGGATTTGAAAGTGCTAATCTGATGTGCTGAAAGATCATTCCACTGCTTTAGCACATGTTAAAAACCAGAACATTTAAGACATGTGTAGCCAGGCTGTGTGAATGCCTCAGTCAGTTTCTGTGAGTCAATGACCGCTGTGGCAAAACCCAGCATGCACTGCTGTAACAGGGCCACAGTTGATATATTTCTCTTTCTGCCAGTGCAAGCTGTTGAATGAAGGTGGTGCTTGCTTGTGCAGAGTGGCTTCACGTATTTTGTTGTTCTGTGTGGGGGGGGAAAAAAACGTTAATTGATGGTT